ATATATATATATATATATATATATATATATATATATATATATATAATATGATTATATATAAACTTTTTTTCCCGGATATGGAAGTACATCTGTGAACGTGAATTGTTAATAAAACTCATTTCATAATGTCCCATAAAGTGTATTACAAATTCACATAACTAATGAACAGTAACGTTTAACATTTCTGTTGGAACACATGAAAAAAATATGAAGAAATGTTTGGTTAGTCGTGGTCTATAATAGATACTTTGACACGTTCACGCTGGCGTGCATCACCGGTGGGTCACACGATACTGAGCCATCGGGCGACGTGCATCACCGGTGGGTCACGCTTGAACATTCGTTTAGACGCCGCTCACCATCAAAAATATAGTTCGTTTAGTAACTGGAAAAAATTGTCGTATAGTTGAAAATTTAAATAATTGAAATTTAATGTATATTGATTGAAAAGAGGTAGTATTTATTTTATTTTATCTCAACATTATAAACATATAAACATTATAAACATATATTATAAAACAAAAATTTAGTAATAAAAACATAACTATTAAATATTATAAACTAAACATATTTGTTTATGTATTTCGATGCAATTTTTTAAAGCATTTTATACAGAGTGTTGGCTGGCCCTTACAACGATTACAATACGTGGTTACTTTTTTAGTTTTCTTCGCGGCATACTCTCTACCTTTTTTTTTATATAAACATTTATAACATTCTTTACATCTTTGTCTTGTTTTTCTTGTAGGTCCTTCATACGAATGAAGAAAGTGTGAATCACTTTTCGACGGTATTTGCTTTCCAATTGCCATTTCTTCACTTCGATAATTATTGACTAAAAGGTGATCAATAATATGTTCTCTAAATTTTAAAGTATTAATATGTTTATTACCCCATTTTTTATGTATGTACCACGCATTTACGAGACAAGTTCCGCATATTAACTGTATGATAATATTTCTGTACCATTTCACGGTTTTTCGTAAACAACTATAATTCGAAGACATGTGGTCCGATAAGTCAACACCCTTTTTTGCATCATTATAAAAGAAAACAGTATCAGGCTTTAATTTATTATTTTTTCCTTGAATAATTGTACACATGTGATTCTCGCAAGTAGATAACATACAAACAGGTCTTTTATCTGTCCATTTCAAAAATTTAACTCCGTTACGATTTTCCAAACTCATAATGCCACCACGGTGTTGTTTTCGTTTTGTCTGTGGCGGTAGAAATTTTCTGTTCATTTTGACAATACCACAAATAAATGTTTTTTTCTCTAAAAGTTCTTCAGCCAAAGGGACACTCGTGTAATAGCTATCTGTAAATAGTATGCGGCCCTCAGATAGTAATCCACTCATCAACTTCATTACAACATCATGTGAATGAGTTTTCGTAATTGCTGTTGCATTTTTTCCGGCATAAATATCAATATTATATGTGTAGCCTCCAGGAAGACACAGTTTATATAATTTTATGCCATACTTATGTCGCTTGCCTGGGATGTATTGGCGAAAACCGAGACGTCCTCTCCATGGAACCATACTTTCGTCGATTACAATATTTTTGCCAGGTTTAATAGCACTTTTGAAGGTATCCACAATTGCTTCAACAATGTTTCGAATTTTGTACAACCGATCTTCAGTTCTGGCTGTGGTATTGTCCGAAAAATGTAAAAACTTAAGAATGGATAAAAAACGGTCACGTTTCATTGCATTTTTTATGCGTGCGTTCGCATACATGTCGCTGTTAGACCAATATAATCTAATTTCTGGTAGTCGGACTACACCCATAATAAGCAATATGCCAATAAAAGTATTCATTTCATCTCTTGTAACAGACTGCCAGGCCTGTTGGTGCGTTCTACTGCTAGATGAAGAATTATTTATGCATTGTGCAGCATATTCATTTGTTTCTTCAACTATCTTTTCTAGTATGTAATCCGTGAAGAATAGTTTGTATAAAGCAACAGGGTCATTACAGTCAGTGTTTTCAAATAAAAATTCCTCTTCTTCCGAATACTTATTTATTACTGAAGTTCTTTCTCTTACTTCCTGCCATTCTTCATCGTGATCCTCGTTCTCTGATTTAGATTCAAAATCTTCTTCCTCCGTGGAACATTCATTCACTTCACTGTTTGTATTAACAAAATCCTCGTCTGAAGAGGAAGAAAGTATCCTTAATCTTGATGTCTTTCTCCTGCTTCCATTTATAGATTCATCAGACGAATCACTTATTTCCATATCCATGTTATCTATTATTTATATGGGCAAAAATTAAAAAAAAATGCTAACCACCTTTCTAGTTATACTTACTGGCGGAAATCTCAGGATGAAAAAACGGCACGAGTTACACAACTTGCAAAATAAGCACTCACTGTACTACTGAGCAAACAGATACAACGCGTATACAGGTCTGAACAAGCAACAATCGTGCGCCGCCAGATGAAGCGCAGCATGAATTCGAGCACCGCCTCACAGCGAAAAACCCATAGAGATATAAGAATAGAGGGAACAAGCCTGTAAGTGGAAGTCATAGAGACAAAGAGAGAAATGGATGCCGAGTGTCCTATCTGTCTCTTTCTAGTCACGCGTTGGGATTGGCTGCGCCAACGACGATATAGCTATACATTTTTCTCCATCCAATTCAAAGAA